TATATGTGTATATATATATATATATATATATATATATATATATATATGATTTTACATAGATAAATGTCACATAGAACTATTTGGATTTTAAATTTAAGTGAATAAAAAATTGAGAAACAGTTTTAGCAACCTGAAGGCTTTCTTTTTTAGTTTAAATATATTTATTGTCAGCTTAACAAAAGCATAGCTTCATGTTTTCTACCCAGTCTTAGATGCTGATGAACTATATGCATAAATTTCTTTCATCTTATTAGGACTTGAACTATCCCAAGGGACACAGAAAAGCAGATTCCACGTGCTTCCCAACGGCACCTTGTCCATCCAGAGGGTCAGTGTGCAGGACCGTGGACAGTACCTGTGCTCTGCATCTAATCCACTGGGCAAGGACCACCTTCGTGTCACCTTGTCTGTGGTTTCTTACCCTGCTAGGATTCTGGATAGACACTCCAAGGAGATCACAGTTCACTCTGGCAGTACTGTGGAACTGAAGTGCAGAGTGGAGGGTTTACCAATGCCTACAATTTCCTGGATACTTGCAAACCAAACAGTGGTCTCGGAAACATCCAAGGGAAACAGAAAGGCCTGGGTAACACCTGATGGAACTTTGATCATCCACAACTTGAGTCTCTATGACCGTGGCTTTTACAAGTGTGTGGCCAGCAACCCAGCTGGCCAGGATTCACTGCTCGTTAAGATACAAGTCATCACAGCTCCCCCTGTTATTCTACAGCAAAAGAGGCAAGCCGTCATCGGGGTTTTAGGTGAAAGTTTGAAACTGCCCTGTACTGCAAAAGGAGCTCCACAGCCCAGTGTTCACTGGGTCCTCTACGATGGGACTGAACTAGAACCGCTGCAGTTGACTCATTCCAAGTTTTTCTTGTACTCAAATGGAACGCTGTATATAAGAAACATTGCTCCTTCAGACAGGGGCACCTACGAATGCATTGCCACCAGCTCCTCAGGCTCACAGAGAAGGGTAGTGATCCTTACAGTGGAAGAGAGAGAGACAATTCCTAGGATAGAAATTGCCTCTCAGAAATGGACAGAGGTGAATTTGGGTGAGAAACTACTATTAAACTGCTCAGCTACTGGAGATCCAAAACCTAGAATAATCTGGAGGTTACCATCCAAGGCTGTCATCGACCAGTGGCACAGGTAAGCCTTTCTGTTAGAATTATCCCCTTCATTTATTTAGCTGTACAACTTCTAAAATGAGAAAGCTTACACAGCAAGGCTAGCAGAGGCTTCAAGACCACACAGGATGCACAGGAAGGTGACTGACTATAGAAAGGGACTCCATTTGACTTCACTGAATACAAAATCAGTTTACATGCTTAACTCTGGGACCCAGATTCTAGATTTGGACAGTTGAGAGCTGTAGGAGAATCTTATTAGCCTCCATATTGGTGGCAGGTGATTTTTTTCCTTTTTTCTTTCCTTGTGGTTGCTTTAAAAATGTTAACTGTGGGAGAGGGAGCAAAAACGTTAACTGTGTAAAGTTTTTCATAATCTCCTCTGCATCAAAAAGAGAACTAGTGATGAGGTCAAGGCTTTCAGAACAAGATGTTTGACCCTCTAATCAGATGTTCCACACTTTAATTACATCACAATCCTTTCTTCTTAAAATTGCAGTACACTTTATGAAAGACACATTAAGACCTTCTCAGAGTGAAATACACTAAAATTCCATGAGCTTGATGCTATCAGATGCAAACCTTTTTAAATTATACTCTTTATAAACATTTGCTTTGAAAAGCAATAAACTTTTTTTTTAACTGCTTCCTTCATTTTATTCACTTAGAAAAAATCTGGAGGGAATGTTATGTTAGGCTATTTGGCTCATGTTATAATGTCCCACCCCCAAAATATGGAAAAGTGTACTTTGGCAGGAATTAAACCTGGGATGTGTCATATGGCTCATTTCTGCCTTGGCTAGCAGGTTGTAAGTGGGATGGATAGACCTCTTCTGTCCAATTTTACAAGAGCATTGTTTCCTAGAATCAGTAAGATAATGGAATCAAGCATGCTTTTCACAGAGCACAAGGTACCATGCTATGCTGCTACACAGTTTTATTGGCTTATTTTTTAGCTAGTGTCTCATGTAAGTTATATAAGCCTCACTTTAAGTATCCTTAGATTTAAATTTGGAAGTCAAGGCATTTTCAAAATACATAGGTTGGATTAATTCAGCAGCATTTATAATCAAATATCTTTTATCAGCTGTTGTTCCTACAATTTAAAGACAATACAATAATGTACAGCATTCAGCCTCTCTGTGTATTTTCCATCTTCACATGGCTTTTTAAAATTACTCTATTTCTTTTCATTTTATTTTTTTATTTGTTTATAATTTTTTAAAATTACAAGCAAGCTTGCTTCACATGTCAATCCCAGCTCCCTCTCCCTCCCTTCCTCCCCCTGGTCCCCATCAACCCCTCCAAGTCCCCATCCCATCCCCCGTCTGTACCACGGGAGGTTGAGGCCCCCCATGGGGGATCTCCAAAGTCTGTCATATCATCCCAGACAGGGCCTAGGCCCTCCCCTATGTGTCCAGGCTGAGAGAACATCCCTCCATGTGGAATGGGCTCCCAAAGTATATTTGTGCACCAGGGATAAATACTGACCTACTCCAAGGCCCTATAGATTGTCGAGGCCTCCACACTGACATCCACGTTCAGAGTGGTCTGGATCAGTCCCATGCTGGCCTCTCAGCCATCATTCTGGGGTCCATGAGCTTTCCCTTGTTCAGGTCAGCTGTTTCTGTGGGTTTCACTAGTCTGGTCTTGACCCCTTTGGTGGTGGTTTTGATTTTAGCCATTCTAACAGGTTTAAGATGGTATCTCAGAGTTGTTTTTATTTGCATTTCCCTGCTGGCTAAGGATGTTGAGCAATTTCTTAAATGTCTTCCAGGCATTTTAGATTCCTCTATTGAGAATCCTCTGTTTAGTCCCCCCCCCCACACACACACACTTTTTAATTGAATTATTTGGTGTTTTGGTGACTAGCTTCTTGAGTTCTTTGTAGATTTTTGAGATCAGCTCTCTGTCAGATCTGGGGTTGGTGAATATCTTTTCCCATTCTGTGGGCTGCCATTTTGTCTTGTTCACTGTGTCTTTAGCCTTACAGAAGCTTCTCTGTTTCAGGTGGACCAATTTATTATTTGTCAATCTCAGTTTCTGTGCTACTGGTGTTATATTCAGGAAGTGGACTCCTGTACCAATTCGTTCAAGGGTACTTCCTACTTTCTCTTCTAAGAGGTTCAGTGTGGCTGGATTTATGTTGAGGTGTTTGATTCATTTGGACTTAAGTTTTGTGCATGGTGATAGATATGGATCTATCTGCTATCTTCTACATGTCTGTATCCAGTTATGCCAACACCATTTGTTGAAGATGCTTCCTTTGTTCCATTGTACAGTTTTAGGTTCTTTGTCAAAGATCAGGTGTCCATGGATGTGTGGGTTAATATCAGGGTCTTCAATTCGATTCTATTGGTCTACTTGTCTATTTTTGGGCCAATATCTAGCTGTTTTCATTACCATAGTTCCATAGTATAGCTTGAAGTCAGGGATGGTGATGCCTCCAGTAGTTCCTTTATTGTACAGGGTTGTTTTGGCTATACTGGGTCTTTTGTTTTTCCATATAAAGTTGAGAATTCTCCTTTCAAGGTCTGTGAAGACTTGTGCTAGGATTTTCATAGGGATTACATTGAATCTGTAGAATGTTTTTGGTAAGATTGCCATTTTTACTATGTTGAACCTTCTTATCCAAGAGCATGGGAGAGCTTTCCATTTTCTGGTACCTTTTTAATTTTTTTTTTAATGTCTCAAAGTTCTTATCATTCAGGTCTTTCACCTGTTTGTGTCTATTGTAGAGTGTTACGTTTCTCTGATTTCTTTCTTAGCATATTTATTGTCTATATATAGTAGGGCTACTGATTTTTTGAGTAGATCTTGCATCCTGCCACTTTGCTGAAGGTGTTTATCAGCTGGAGGAGTTTCCTTGTAGAATTCTTCAGGTAACTTATGTAAACTATCATATCATCTGCAAATTGTAAAAGTTTGACTTCTTCCTTTCCAATTTGTATCCCCTTGATCTCCTTTTGTTGTCTTATTCCTCTAGCAAGAAATTCAAGTGCAATATTGAAGAGGTATGAAGAGAGTGGACAACCTTGTCTTGATCCCGATTTTAGAGGAATCTCATTGAGTATCTCTCCATTTAGTTTGATGTTGGCTGTCAGTTTACTGTATATCGCCTTTATTATGTTTGGGTATGTTCATGTTGTATCGGAACTCTCCAAGACCTTTATCATGAAGGGGTGTTGAATTTTGTCAAAGGCTTTTTCAGCATCTAGAGAGATGATCATGTGGTTTTTCTTTTCTGTTTGTTTCTATGATAGATTACATTGATGGATTTTCATATGTTGATCCATCCATGCATCCAAGGTATGAAGCCTACTTGATCATGGTGTATGATTTTTCTGATGTGTTCTTGGATGCTATTTGCCAGTATTGTATTGAGTATTTTTGCATCAATGTTCATGAGGAATATTGGTCTGTAGTTCTCTTTCTTAGTTGTGTCTTTGTGTGGCTTGGGTACCAAGGTAATTGTAGCCTCATAAAAAGAGTTTGACAATGATCCTTCTGCTTCTATTGTGTGGAACACAATAGTATTTGAGGAGTATTAGCTTCTCTTTGAATTTCTGGTAGAATTCTGTGCTGAAACCATCTGGCCCTGGACTTTTTTTGGTTGGAAGACTTTTGATGACTGCTTCTATTTGAAAAGCAATAAACTTAAAGCTTGTGAAATATAAATTCTTGTGACTTCCATGACTTTGTGAAATGATTTTCCATAATCCAGAAACAGATGGGGATGAGTGTTTTTATGTACATTTATTCTTTGAAATATCCATGCAATAAAAATTAGTGTATATGAATTTATATGGATATTGGAAACTGAAAGTTTTCCCCCTAATGTTACAGCAAATTGATACAGAATAAAATGAACAGATTTGTAATTTTTAATACAAAGGTCAATATTAATTTTCAGGTTTTTCAGGCACTAAAATGACCTTAAAAGTTAAATCCTAAGTCACTAAGCTGTAAAGTTATAAACTGCTGAACTAGAGTGTGAATATTAGAACCTACATACTTACATATGTTTTCTCCCCTGTATGTGCCCCCATTTTGATAGTCAATATCTTCAATACTTCTTTTACCATATTTCCATTTGATTTTAGAATATCAGCTCTTATTTTTCTCAGAATTGTTGCAGCTACTCTGAGTCTTTGAAGATCTTCATGAATTATCAGATTTATTTACTTCTTGGAAAAAAATGATTGGAATTTGGATGGTATTTTTCCTTGAATCTACAGATTAATCTTTTGACCTGGTAACATGGACATCTTTCCATTTTGTGTGTGTGTCCTCTAGAATTTATTTTTTATAATTATTTAGGTAGCTATCAATATTTTACTTTCTACTTTTCCCTAAGTAGTTTGGAGTGCTTTTTTTCGTTTTGGTGCCTTTGTTTTTATTGTTGTTTTGTTTTTTTGCAAGTTCATCATAGACATGTAAAAATGATGGGTTTTATATATTGATTTTGTATCCTGTAGCTTTATTGAATGACTGATTATAGGCTATCAAAGTTTTCTAATGGAGTATTTTTATTTTTCCTATGGAAAACAATGACATTTGCAAACAAGCTACTTTAACTTTTCTGATTTGGATGACACAGTTCCTTCTTATTCCTATTGCTTTCATCAAGACTTTCTTACTATGTTAAACAAGAGCAGCACAAGCAGAGGGATTCTTGTTCAAATTTAGGAACACTTTAGCCTTTTCTAATTCCGTGTGATATTCATGGTAGATTTTTCATATATAGGCTTTAATAATTTGAGATACATTCCTTCAGTACCTAATTTATTATCATAAAAGAACATTAAACTTTACCAAATGCTTTTTCTACACTTGTAAAGATAATCATATGGTTTTGTATTTGTGTTGTATTGTTTATTGATGTGCAAATGTTTAACTATCCCTGAATTCCTTAGGTTAATTTTAATTGATCTTGGTTTGTCCATGTACATTTTGAAATGCTCAATTCAGTTTACTTGCATTTTTTTTGCTTTTATGTTTATTGGAGATATGGGTCTAAAT